CACCATACGTAAGGGACAGTTTTCTCCCTTACACCCCACCATGACCCATTAGATCAGTGAAGATCAATTCATCTGTGAGTAGCATCAGTGCACCAAGCTCACTTGGTGAAAACACAAGAGGTCATACTTGGAACTCACTCCCCCTTGAGACCTAGAAGATGTTGAGGCTCAGGCTTCAATGGAAGTGCTACAGAAATTTCCCTGTTTGAGCAATCTAGAGGTATCCGATTTGATGCTTGTGCTGGGCATGTCTACACAAGACGTTTACTGAGCAGTAGACCAGTTAGCCGAGCAATAAATGTCTTACATCTGCATGTGTGCTCGTATTAGGCTGAAGTAAATTAATTTACTCCACAGCAGGATAGTACTTGTAAATACAAGTGCTAGCCTGCAGTAAAGTAATACTCTGCAGCAATACACATGGAGACATTGTCCCAGCTAACCCCTCCACAGGATGTTGAGCTGAGGTGGGGGAAAATCAGGCCCAGGCTGCCAGGCAGACCCCCCTCAAACTCCCTGCCAGCCAGGGCTGCTCCAACCCAGCTCAACTTTGAAAAGTTATCATCAGTGGTTTTCTTGAATTCAGGCCTACCCCACAATGCAACAGCACTGAGCACAATATCTGACAGGTAGTCTCTCTGAAAACTTGTACATAAAACAGTAATAACACCTTTTTACTTCTAGTCCAGCTAATAGGCCCAATAATTTTAAGCCAATAGATCCAAATACTTCGTTTGACAACTGCACTCCCACATCCCCCACTGGGAGATTATAGTTATTCACTCAGGGACCTCCAATGCCTAGTCAGTCGCTCCTTTTTAGAAGATGGAGGTCCCATCCTAGAATCTTGGTTCCTAAATATATGATCTTGCAGTTAGACGTATTAGAATGTGTTTGTGCAAATCACATCTACTCCACAGATCTGGATTGCTCATCATTATTGGTCCCCCAACATGTTCAGCACGTGCAAATCTTTTAAACAGCAATATTTTTGTATTTAGTTTCAAATCACTGATAAAGACATTAAATAGGATTCTATTTTTTTAAAATATTATGTGATGACACTATAACCACTCTGATTGGATAACTCCCTGCCTACAAGTGATTTTACCTAGATCCTTTAGTCAGGTTTGACCCATTCTGGATTGATTTCTGTGCAACTCATTTTCAAATCAAAACGCTACTCAGCACTACGCATCAAGTATTTTTACAGAGGTCATTACATTTTAAAATAAAATAAACTCAAGGGCTACATCCACACAAGCGGATCCACACATTTGGTTCCCCGGGGACGAGTAGTGGTGGCACACCTTGCACCGCTGCTGTGTGTCTCCATGGAACACCTGTGCCATGTGCACTTTGGCACATGGCAAGTTACTCCAGGTGTGGTAGGGGAGGCTGGGGCCAGCACTATGTTGGCCCCAGCAGCTTTACCTGGGGATCTGGGGGCCTCCCAGGGCTGCAGCAGTGGCAATTCAGCCATGAGGAGCCCGGCCAGCAGTCACAGTGCAGCTCCAGGCAGCCTGGCTCCGCTTTTGAGCGTGCTGCCTGTGCATGTGCTGCTCTACTTTTTTCCGCAAGTTTTTTTGACTCCTGGATATCTGGAAAGTGTTCCCTTGCAAAAGTAGGGAGCATATGAATGTGTGGTATGTGGTTCTGTAGACATGTTGTGGCACCACATACTGCACAGCCACACTCATCTAGATGCAGCCAAGGATTTTAAGTTTGTGGGCAATGTAGATTCTCTTCTGTTTTAACTGTGAATGTTGCTAACAAAAAGAAACCCAAAGATTTGTCACTTATTTCAGAGACAAGAAAAAAAGTTAATTTCCTTAGTGACTTAATTTTACTCATTAAAGCTTTAAGAAATATCAGCAAACGTCTCATTGAACTTACATTGAAAGAATCGGTGCTACGCTGTCCAGAGAGGCTATGAGAATTCCTATCTCACAAATACAAGCAGTGAGAAGCAAAGCCCAGGTTGGTTCGCCATTTGCTTTTCCATGACCAAACACCTAATTCAGTTCAATTAAATAGCAGAGAGGCAAGGGAGGAAAGAATAAATCAGTTCAATAAGTAGTTCTCAAGATGTACTCAAGACACCAGCTTTAAAGACAAAAACCATCAGAAAATGTTTTTGCCAGGTTATTGTTACCACTAACACATAAGGGAACTATCTTACAGTTTCTATTTAAAGACAAATTTTCCAAGTAATTTTATATCCAAATATCTGCACATTCCTACACACA